ATTGAGTTGTTATTTCAATGGAGTTTCGTTCAAACTCCTTCAAATTCGGAATGCTCTTGCAAGATTTAAGGAGATAACTTTTAAATTGATGCAATCCTTTCATAAAAATGGGCTACTGGATTTCTTTCAATGAAAAACGGCAACTATTTAGATTTTAAGAACAACTATTTGGATTTCAATATTAAAATGTTATGTAAAAAGTTTTTACTTGTTAACCCCCAAATCTCTAAAAAATTCAAAAACCTCGTGAATTTGGGTTCTTAAACAAAAGAGTGATATAATTAAGAAATAATATAACATCAAAAAAAGATATCAAATAGTGAATTAACACATTAAAAAGTGACATAATTAAAAAATAGTGGCATATTTAAAAAAATAATGTGACATCAAAGAGTTATATAATTTTAAAAATAATGTAACATCAAAGGGTGACATAATTTTAAAAATAATGTCATAATTAAAAAAGTAGTGTGACATCAAAAAGTGACGTAATTTTAAAAATAGTGTGACCTCAAATACTAGAAAATTGATGACTCATCTTATAGAAGACCAATAATGAGTATCGGTGGTTATTTGAAAAAGATAAATATGAAAAATAATAATTACAGTTTAAATCAATATACAACAAAAATATTAATTGTCAAATATATTTTTGTAATCTTTTTAAAATTCAAACAATTAATTGCCCATTAAAATAGGAAACCACTCAGTCAATAAAAACATAATAAAAAAAGGNCTTCAATAATCTAATATGTTTGACTTTCTATAACTGGACAAAATTAACACCGTTAGTTATAATTTTGATATTTAAAAAATAAGTGGACTTAAGTACTTACATATAAGTTTAAACATGAGCTTACCTCCTAATAAATTTTGCTCTAGAATTCAAGTCATTATAAATTTATCTAAAAGGACTCATCCTCAATTTTTACTAATATTTTAAATCCCCCCCTCCCCCTCAAGATGATGATGGGATGATCGTTGCAATTACGGGTGTCCATGGGCCAAATTGTAAAAAAATTTTGGGTCGGGTCTGGTTAAGGTAGGCCCAAAATTTTATTCTGATGAGTTATTGGGTGGGCCAAGGTGGACTTGGGGTAATGGTAGATTACTCATAACCTAACCCGTCACTCATGGGCCTTGTGGGCTTGCTGGGTAAACCTTCCGAGCTAGCTTTTTATTTATATACAATTTTATTTAATTATATTTTTAAATTAAAAGTAAAATTAAAATAGACAAAAAGTAAATAAATAATTTTATGGGATATTTGTGGGCCAATACACTTTTAATAACTTATTTGTTAAAAAGTTCAATCACCAAATTATTTTGTTAAGAAGTACATTTCAGGTTAAAATGTCTCTAATACACTGAATTATCTATTTACTATATTAGCAAAATCGAATTAAGAAACAAAATCAATTCATTAATTGAGTTGTTATTTCAATGGAGTTTCGTTCAAACTCCTTCAAATTCGGAATGCTCTTGCAAGATTTAAGGAGATAACTTTTAAATTGATGCAATCCTTTCATAAAAATGGGCTACTGGATTTCTTTCAATGAAAAACGGCAACTATTTAGATTTTAAGAACAACTATTTGGATTTCAATATTAAAATGTTATGTAAAAAGTTTTTACTTGTTAACCCCCAAATCTCTAAAAAATTCAAAAACCTCGTGAATTTGGGTTCTTAAACAAAAGAGTGATATAATTAAGAAATAATATAACATCAAAAAAAGATATCAAATAGTGAATTAACACATTAAAAAGTGACATAATTAAAAAATAGTGGCATATTTAAAAAAATAATGTGACATCAAAGAGTTATATAATTTTAAAAATAATGTAACATCAAAGGGTGACATAATTTTAAAAATAATGTCATAATTAAAAAAGTAGTGTGACATCAAAAAGTGACGTAATTTTAAAAATAGTGTGACCTCAAATACTAGAAAATTGATGACTCATCTTATAGAAGACCAATAATGAGTATCGGTGGTTATTTGAAAAAGATAAATATGAAAAATAATAATTACAGTTTAAATCAATATACAACAAAAATATTAATTGTCAAATATATTTTTGTAATCTTTTTAAAATTCAAACAATTAATTGCCCATTAAAATAGGAAACCACTCAGTCAATAAAAACATAATAAAAAAAGGAAAATACTACATATTGTATTTTTTTTTTACAAAATAAAATTTATTTATTNAGGAAAATACTACATATTGTATTTCTTTTTTACCAAATAAAATTTATTTATTCACAAATGACATATTGCATAAAATAAGGGCATTTAAGTANGGAAAATACTACATATTGTATTTTTTTTTTACAAAATAAAATTTATTTATTCACAAATGACATATTGCATAAAATAAGGGCATTTAAGTACTATTAAAATATAAAAATTTGAAAATATGTACTTCGCTATCAAATGTTTTATAAAAAATATATGTACTAACTTAAAAATTTGGGCCATAGACTTTTCCAAGAATTTTTTCAAAAATGTGTACCTCCCGACAAATTTTTCTAATTTTATTTATGAATAGTGAAAAAATTGCATCACAAATGAACACATCCTAATTAAGTTTATATATGACCACTAAACTTTCAACGTCTTGATAGTTAACTTTTAAACCATTGAGCGGAAGGACAGACGAGCTCTTGAATTGGGTTTTAAAATGATTTTGTAAGTGCGCTTAATTGCAAAATTTTGGACCAAAAAATGAGTTTAAGGACAAGTCTAAACTCTCCGTTAGAAAATATTGAATTTGAGCTCAGGCTCAAATTCAAGTGGGCCAACTATTAAACTTCAGATCTATTTTGGGCCGGTTAACAGCATCCATGGACACAACTAGTATGTGTATACAGAAACATGATGCAGCATTGGATGCCTCCGATATGAGTGCCACATGTGTCGAGTTAAATAGATGAAAAATACGTAAATTTGAACACGACATATTTAATAAACGAGTAAAAAAATTTAAACACGAACACGATAAACAGATAATACGACATGACTCGTTTAACCCGTTTAATTTTATTAAAAATTATTCTATTAAAATTTTAACCCGCAACTAAAAAACTATCATATTAAAATTTTTAACTCCATTACTTACCTGACCAATTGTACTCTCTTAATTAAAAAATTTTCAATTGGCTGCCACTTGCAAAAACAAATGAAAAGGTATGCTCCGTTTGGTAGGGGAATAGAAAGTAGGAAGGATAGAAAATATGAGGGATACATTTTTTATCCTTCAATGATAGAAAGTAGAAAATATACATTTTCCTTCCTTTGTATTTGATTGGATGGATGAAAAATAAAAATGACTATTTTTTTTTTGCGTTGACTAAGATTAAGGGTGACAATCGAGTCAAGTCGTATCAGATTTGTGTCGAGTCATTACAAGTTTGTGTCGAATATTAATCAAACCTAACTTAACTTGTTTAACTAATTATGTCGTGTCGAGTTGTGAGTTGACCTGTTTATTTTCGTATCCAGTTCGAGTCATGTCATCGTATTCAGTCGAAAATTTTCAACCTTAGTTAAAATGGAAAAAATATTTTTTTTTAATTCAAAATTTTTATTTTTATTTTTAAAATTTTTTAATATATATATATATACACATACATACATATACATATACATATTTTACTATTATATTTTTATATGAAGTTAATGTATAAATAATATATGTATATATAAAAAAATATATAGACAAATAAAATACATCTCAACGCAAATAATTAATTTTTCATCCACTTTCTTTCCGATTTTGAAGGGATTGACTTTGGTGAATTAGAAAAAAAGTTAATGATGTTTTATTTATCACCTAATTTTTCATCCTTCCAACTTTTTATTCTCCCACTTTTTCATCGTACCAAACAGAGTATTAATGACTAAAGATTTTATAGGCATGGGAGGTCTCAATTTGTCGACGTGGGATTGAGGCCAAAAACTTTTACTGTGTCTTCGGTGTCTATAGACTATAAACCCACCCCAGGATCCATTCAAGCACTATGATACCCACTNGTGATGTTCAGCTTCAGCAAAGTGGAGATTTTTATTGGATCTCAGAGTCGAAGAGAGATTCTTCAGTAAAATGTTTTTCAATATCAGATACAAGCAGAAGGGATGGATTCCCGCATCGAGCGCTACAAAAGGGGATAAGTGACTACTGTGTATTTAATTTTTTTTGAAATAAAATTGTTTTTTACACATTTATCATATATTTATATAAATATTTTAATTTTAACTATTTTTTTAAAATAATTATTAATTTATTATTATATTTTTTTTAACTAGTAAACGAGCAATGATCAATTTGATAAATTTCACCCGAACACGACCTAATTATTAAACATATTTGACAGGTTAACCTGTTTATCACCCAAACCCGTTAAAATCTCACTTAAACTCTTTTAATTCGTGTCGATTAAACGTGTCATGTCATATTTTAACAGACTTAACCTCTAGTCCTTTTCCTAGATTTAAAGCACATGCCACTTCATCAGCCGCTTCAAGTATTTTGCTGTTTCAATATTAGCATATCATCCCACAAGAGATCCCAAATTCTGAATCCCACATAAGTAGGGACTTTGGCATCACCGGTCTCGTTGACTTTTTTAGAGTATAACTCACTCATCCAATGATTCTTATTTACCAGAATCCATAATTTGGGATTCAAAGTATTACCATTCCACACTGGAGAGCGTCCACAAATTCTGTTAATGGAATTTCAGTGCATGGCCCTTAGCATGACTACCATATATTATTCCACAATAATTGCCTCAAATAAGAACAAAAAGAATTTCTTGAAGGTACAACATATTTTTGCCCTGATATGAGTACAAGTTCATTACCACCAGTAACTAAATTAAGGTTAATTTTGATATAAATTTGAATTATAATAACGTTGATGCAATATTTTAGAAGCCCTTCATTGGGTTATTCAATCCTGCAGTGCCTATCAAGAGCATATAAAGCTGATTCAGACTCTAAATTTCCTCATCACCAAAGCCAACTGCATAGTGGCCAGTGTTCTTATCCTGTTCGTGAACAAAGCAATCAACATGTCAAATGCTAGTTAACAGCAAACAATGACAGGTACCAGGGTATACAAGTTGAGAAAGNCTCATGAACAAAGCAATCAACATATCAAATGCTAGTTAACAGCAAACAATGACAGGTACCAGGGTATACAAGTTGAGAAAGCAACATTTACTTTGAGCCAAGACCTAAGGCTTGACAAACCAGTTACGGGCAATTTGAGCCCAGCCAATGTAAAGGTTACCANCAGAATATATAACTTTTATATAAAATGTTCATTAATTATCATAATATTTAATAAACGGTTTCCATATATAACTCAATCAATAGTTTTCATATATATTTCAATAATCTAATCTGTTTGACTTTCTATAACTGGACAAAATTAACACCGTTAGTTGTAATTTTGATATTTAAAAAATAAGTGGACTTAAGTACTTACATATAAGTTTAAACATGAGCTTACCTCCTAATAAATTTTGTTCTAGAATTCAAGTCATTATAAAGTTATCTAAAAGGACTCATCCTCAATTTTTACTAATATTTTAAATCCCCCCCTTCCCCTCAAGATGATGATGGGATGATCGTTGCAATTACGGGTGTCCATGGGCCAAATTGTAAAAAAAATTTGGGTCGGGTCTGGTTAAGGTAAGCCCAAAATTTTATTCTGATGAGTTATTGGGTGGGCCAAGGTGGACTTGGGGTAATGGTAGATTACTCATAACCTAACCCGTCACTCATGGGCCTTGTGGGCTTGCTGGGTAAACCTTCCGAGCTAGCTTTTTATTTATATACAATTTTATTTAATTATATTTTTAAATTAAAAGTAAAATTAAAATAGACAAAAAGTAAATAAATAATTTTATGGGATATTTGTGGGCCAATACACTTTTAATAACTTATTTGTTAAAAAGTTCAATCACCAAATTATTTTGTTAAGAAGTACATTTCAGGTTAAAATGTCTCTAATACACTGAATTATCTATTTACTATATTAGCAAAATCGAATTAAGAAACAAAATCAATTCATTAATTGAGTTGTTATTTCAATGGAGTTTCGTTCAAACTCCTTCAAATTCGGAATGCTCTTGCAAGATTTAAGGAGATAACTTTTAAATTGATGCAATCCTTTCATAAAAATGGGCTACTGGATTTCTTTCAATGAAAAACGGCAACTATTTAGATTTTAAGAACAACTATTTGGATTTCAATATTAAAATGTTATGTAAAAAGTTTTTACTTGTTAACCCCCAAATCTCTAAAAAATTCAAAAACCTCGTGAATTTGGGTTCTTAAACAAAAGAGTGATATAATTAAGAAATAATATAACATCAAAAAAAGATATCAAATAGTGAATTAACACATTAAAAAGTGACATAATTAAAAAATAGTGGCATATTTAAAAAAATAATGTGACATCAAAGAGTTATATAATTTTAAAAATAATGTCATAATTAAAAAAGTAGTGTGACATCAAAAAGTGACGTAATTTTAAAAATAGTGTGACCTCAAATACTAGAAAATTGATGACTCATCTTATAGAAGACCAATAATGAGTATCGGTGGTTATTTGAAAAAGATAAATATGAAAAATAATAATTACAGTTTAAATCAATATACAACAAAAATATTAATTGTCAAATATATTTTTGTAATCTTTTTAAAATTCAAACAATTAATTGCCCATTAAAATAGGAAACCACTCAGTCAATAAAAACATAATAAAAAAA